GCATGGTGTTAACATAATTTTAAGAATTATTATTTATTTTTGCTTTGCTTTGATGGTGCCAAAGGCTGGAATAAACAATGGAGACCAGAGAAGACACACGTAGCAAATCAGCTGGAATAAGCTTTAGTAACAAGCGCTTACCTCAGTGGGCACAGCTAATGCCAGGACCATGGTTTTCACATGGCCCAGCCTATGGAAAGCCAGAAACACACAGCATCGGACAGATTCCAGCATGGCTGCATTCGGTCTGCAGAGTAAAATACAGTTCATCTCACAGCTTTAATGCCACAGTAACAGCTGAACACTACTTTAAATCAACATTGCCAGCAGAATGACAGTAGTCATTAGTAAGTAGCACTAATAAAAATGTGTCTGGCAGCTCTCACAAATATACAACCTTATTTTACCTTCTCAGACACATGAAAAATGGTACAAATTCCTTGTAAAGAAGAGGAAATACTCAGTGAAACATTAGCTATCCCTAATATATTTTTGCACAAGGCACATTTTGGTTGTCTTTGGTGTATTATGTTGTCAGTGGGAAATTTGATTAAGATTGCACAAGCTTTGTTGATGGTGCTGTGGAAATCTATAGATCTGAACAGAATATACAAATATACACAAATATACAACCTTATTTTACCTTCTCAGACACATGAAAAATGGTACAAATTCCTTGTAAAGAAGAGGAAATACTCAGTGAAACATTAGCTATCCCTAATATATTTTTGCACAAGGCACATTTTGGTTGTCTTTGGTGTATTATGTTGTCAGTGGGAAATTTGATTAAGATTGCACAAGCTTTGTTGATGGTGCTGTGGAAATCTATAGATCTGAACAGAATATACAAAATCCATGCCAAAATCAGGTGGTACTGTAACCTAATGGCTGGTCATGAAACAGGGCACCTGGGTGAGAAAACATATCACTAACAGATAATCAATCATCAATCAAGAACAATAAGAAACAAGCCATGCCTTTGGTCAATGAGAAATCCAAGAGATGTCAAAGTCAGAAGAATGAAGCCAGTAGTCATCAGAAATGTTATCTGTGATAAATCCTAAGGGGGGGGGAAAGGATTAGATTAGCCTTAGATTTTCGTTGCATTTTAGGAGTATGAACATAAAAGAGCTACTTTGGAAACAAGAAAACCAGAAAACGGGTTACCAAAAACATTTTGCCCTTTTGTAATCAGACATTTTTCACGAAGGTTTTATGCAGTAAAAGGCATGTAAAAATATAAATTCCGAGTATTTTCACAGAAGGCTGACAAATATACCCATAACAGAAAATGCCCAACATGTTTATTACAATTTAAAATAATAATTGCAGTATATGGGGGCATATCATTGTAATCTGAATTTGAAATAAACATTACACTGTATGTATATACTCTATAGTACAGAATATGCAATTCTATGGACAGTACGATTTCCATTCCATTTCCTTTAAAAATTCCCCTTTAGGTACAGTACATGAATGTCCCCTTTATACTGTATAATATATATCACAGGAATCTCACTCATACTGTACACCACAGTACAAGCATCCTTATCTTCTCTCACAGATGAGAATGCTTTCACAAGCAACTGTACTCTTAGCATGAGCATGCAGATTTTGAAGTCTGAGTGACACAGAGGGCTCTGCGTAGGCTTGTTCAATTTAATTATTATCTGCGTGAAATAACGCTATTAATCTTCATCCTGGATTAACGTGGCCAAAACAAACATCCACCAAACAGTCAATTCTGCTGTTAACATGCGCTCTACTATGTATTGACCTGTCATACTGGGATCCGATCTGGGTTCTATTTCACAAACCTGCACAAGTCTCCATCCCAGCTTAAGTGTGTCAAAGAAAAATAAGGTTGCGCCATGTCCAGTCTGTGATTATGCGTGTGTACGTCCTGCTGGCCAAAAGACTAGAGAAAGTCCTGCAGAGGGAACGCAGAAGAAGAAATTCCTAAAACAGCTACCCCAGGCCCCAGACTGCAAGCTGAACTGTGGGAAGAACACCATGATGTCAATGTGGTCTCTGGAGCTTGGAAGGAAAAGTGCTGAAACTGAATTTTGTTCTGCACTACTGGGAGAGTATTTCTAGCCATAGTTGAGCAAGACTGTCAAAGCTTATAAAACCTCAATCTGTCCTCAAAACAACAGATTGGCCAACCCTGTGCCAAACCATTGCTTTCTTCTTATCTTAAATATTACTACTGTATTCCTTCAAATGTCACTTGGGTGGGGGGAAACAATCCCAGATGCCAAGTTTCCAAGTGAAGGATTTCTAAAACAAAAGGCTGTTGCAACTTGGAGAAAGTTTTTAGACAAAACTTCGGAAAATACGTGCTTAGGTTTTCATGTGATTTCAGTGTGCAAATCCATTTACTGTACGTGTTCATACTGATCCACTTCCTACTGCACTTAAAACTGACTGCCACAAAAACCATCTGTGTGCTGTACTGCTACATCTTGCATTTTTCAATTGCTCATTCTTTGCATCCAATTCTCCATAAAATATGGTTATGACAATAAATACTGTATGTTAATTGTTCTAGGATCTCCCCCAAAACAAATGCCTATCATATGCTCTTTTAACCCTTGATTTATTTGTACATCTCATTGATTAAACCAATTATCCAAAAGAGTATTAACCTTCTGTAAAAAATAAACTTGGTAAAGAATATGTCAGGAGTCAATATTTATTTTAAGATTCCCCATGGGTCTCGTGTGTGAACACAGAGAAGACATACTGTATTTGCATTGTGCACTGCAATCTGCATTTTAATTCAATCTGTCCCTTGTTGGTAAATCACTATAATAATTTTAGCTTCTATTCTAAGGTGTAATGCTGCATATCTCCTACATGAAGGTGAAAGCACCTTTTTTAAGGAGAACTTTAGCAGGCAATGAATAATATTTAATATTTAATTTTAAAGGTACGATACCTATTTATTATGAAATAGTCCAAGCAATACCCCAAAAGCACACAAACAGGATACACAGCTTTAGTCGCCATATTTGAGAGAACCGTCTCTTACTAAAATAAGAAAATTCTGTAGTAACTGTTTACTTTACTTTGCAGCCTGGGGCATGTCTTGATTGATGTTATGTTGCTTAAGAACCCTGACTGATGTATTCTGAAAGCTGGCTCGGGCAGAATGTGGGTAGCCTGACAGCTAAGACATTTGTATCTGCTGTTGGACCACCAGCGGTTGTTTTAGTCACTGGTGGTTATGGGGAATAGTTCTTCCTCTCACTGCTATTCTCCATAAGCCACAACACAAAAAGAGCACGATGGAGGTAGGGTTTACAGTAAGAAAGCCATTCCATTTCACTTTTCAAGAAGGGTGGGGCTGCAAGTTTTGGCGAACCAAAAGTATGCCTGGGGAGTAAAGACTTCCAAAGATAACTCCTGGGAAAACTTGAATTTACATACTCTTTTTTTTTTTTTTTTGGAATAGGTCATCCTGTTTCCACAGTAGAGAAAAAAAAAGATGTTAGAGGTTAAACATTATGTTAAAGCAGAATGTGGCCATAGGCATATTCCATTTTTGGTTGGATTTATTTGACAGACCTTATGGAAACTCATAAATTCATGTTAAGACAAATACTTACAGCTTTTGTAGCGACGATTTCATTGTAAATCCCCATCAACACTATGAAGTGTGTGAAAACATAGGCTTGCAGGGCAGCTGGCCACGCTGGGTTGTGTGGAATCTCTTTTCCAGTAATCTGAAAACAAACGTCCGGAATGAGAAAGCAAGAAGTCAGCCTCCTTTTCCCACCCTAAAACATTATTGAAGGCTTACTGCGCAGTATTTGTCAAGACGTGTCTATACAGTACAGTACATTTTGCCTGACTGGAAGCATCAGTACCCTGTAGCCTGGTTTTGTGGGGTCTCTTTTTTTTGTGTGCAATCCAAACAATTGACATTCAAATTATGAACGATAACTAATAACTAAAATAGTATACGCCCCTCCACCACCTTCCCTCAGCCCCAAATCTCCCCCTTTGGATGCCTGAAATACAGAGAGACAGCTGCAGCAGAAAGTCTTCTTCCTGTCTCCTCTGCTCTGTCTATTGTGTGACCCTGTCAAGGGTGCTAATTCGTCCAACACCCCGGCCCCATCTGAAGGGTGTCATAACGACCTCCCTGTTAAATAAAACGAAGAGGGGTATTGTATTGACTTAGCAGAGAATTTGTTTATCCTGAGTTACTGTAACAGTTAGAATCATTTGCATCTTATACTGTACCATTCGTACCGATTCAAGGACACAGGAGAGCAGCGTAAACATGTACGACAATGCACGTTGTTGTTGGCATATGTGGTACTTGATACATCTGTATTTTACATCTTTAGTCTCTGTTTGTATTCTACAGGCATTATGAGGCCTGTCAGGTTATGAATCCTATTCCATATTTATTCTACAGAGCCATAACACTGGTTGGTTCTATGCCTGGAAGGAGGTGTACATGACAAAATAATAAATTCATGGCCACTTTTGGCTGGAAGGTGTTAAAACACATTTTTAAATAGATTGATTTATTACAACATTTCCTTTATTTTTTTATTATTCGTTTTTTTTTTCAGCCTGCACGTTAATCATCCCTCATTTATATTTAGGCTTTGTCAAAGCTCACAAGGTTTCACAGGGGCCCACTCTGAGGCTGACTACTGAGTTTAGCCATATGTGGCTTTTCTCTAGATCAAAACGATTTTTTTAAGGTATTTCAGCCTGGTCTCTGCTCTGGCTCAGAAATCAACTTAGTCAACTTTTTTATAAAAAAATACCAGCACTTGCAGCCCTCCTCGGAGTGGCCTTTCTAGCCATGCCTGCTGCAAATTCAAATTCCTAAGCTGTCCACATGTTTAGAATCATCATGCAAAGTTTTAAGCACGTTTAATTGCAGAGGCACTTTTTAACTCTCAAGCAAGACCAGCAAAATATGTGCAAGAGTCAGCTCTATTTCAAAGCCGGCAACTCAGCATCTTGGCGGGGCAAGACTCAACCCCTGTCTCAGAGGGAGAGCACAAAGCGTTTGATCCCATAGAGTGTGCCCACAGGCTTGCAGTTGTTTAAAAGCAAGTGGAATAGTGCTCCGTGTGCCGGATCTCTTTGTGACCCAAGCTTAGCATGCTATTTTCTATACAGGTTCACAGGCCGTTCGTATTTTCTGTAATGAACGGCGTGCACGACGGTGTTCTTCAGCTGTCAGTTCGGGGGAATTCAGCCTTCATTTCGCCCTGACAACCATCAGCCATGACTGCCTCGGCCTCAAACCCTGACACAGTGGGAACCACATCGGCACAAATCCACAGGGCTGAGATCAGACTGGCAAAATGCCCGCTGATCAACGAGCTTCCTGCGCCCCCATATAGAGGAAGGGCAGCTTTTAAAAGAATAAAATGTTCTTATTAATTGGAAAGTGAGCAAAGCTTTTGTAACGATCCAGGAGTGCGAAGAACCCTCTTGCTGAGACCAGGGGGGAAAGGCGAGCAGCTGGCCAGTGCATATTATTGATACAGTTATTGCCGGTATTCACAGCTAACGATAAACTGCCTCATCAACGGCATCTGAAAAGAAAAGGCGAGTGAAATCAGCTTATGAGTCAGGAGGCTATCTTTAACAGGGGAGAGCTTGGAGCCCAGGGTGTAATAAAAGCCAAATCCACAAGAATCTGATAGGAGTATTGAAAATCCTCAAGAGCACTGACAAAGTCTACCCAGAGGACGTCTGCGAAACGAGCAGTGAACCATGACCCAGAGGGCACAAGCGGCAAACATTGAAGCGCATTTACAAGCGAGAATAGAAGGCACTTCATTACCCATAATAACTTCAGGGTCGTGGGAATATCGAACAAGCTACAGTACATAGCCAAGTGGTTAAAGCCGATACTTGGTTTCTTTCACAAAACAGCTGGAGGAGATCCTTGGATCAATTACCTCACTATTAAACAGGCGAGATGGGTCGAGTGGCCTCCTCTCGTTTACAGGTTTTCTTGTGTTCTTAAGAGTCACACTTAAGGAAAAGTGCTGGTTTATTCACAAAATGGCCGTTAAGTAATGGAATAAGCACGATGTGTAGTCAATTCTTAGTGAATAGGTTCTACTCGAATCCCAGGAAGACAATCCCGAGAGAAGGAGAAAGGACTCCAGCTTCCTTCAAGCTCTGCTAGACCTGAGGGAGGAGGACCAGGAGTCTGACTCTTATACCAGGTGCTCCTCCCTCTTGCTTCCACAAGTTGTGTTTCTTAAAGGGAAGTTGTGCTTTTACAATCGGACCGCAATAACCTATCCAAATACACCACAAGCATCACCTCTTTCCAAAACAGCAGGCGATTTTTTTTAATAGCTTTCTATTTCTTGAACCAGGAAATTTTGGAAGTGCTAGAAGAGTGGTTAACTTTTTACTTTGACGTGAGGAAATGATGGGGTAACCAGTTTCCCTCCAGGCCACATGAGGGCACTACAGAAGCTCACCTGGAGCCAGCCGGTTTCTTCTCCACTGTCTAAAGTGTCTGGTTAAACCCTGAACACAGTTTTGGAGTCTGAAGCCTCAGTGTTAGTTAACTCCCAAACAGGAATAAAACAAACACATACAGTACCTAGTTCTTTTCACACCTGGGTACATTTTCACCCAAATATATTTTTTCACCTTGTATGTCTGCTTGTATCCCAGAGTGCAGTGTGGACAAGGTGAAGGCAGCAGTCTTGCTTTTTTGTGCATGTTCTTGTTTGCTTTGTAAAGCTGGCAGTCAAGATTGCTTCCTAGACGCAACAAGACCCTTCAAGCTCTGCTAGACCAGAGGAAAATTCCTTTTAAAGTGCCACACTTTATTTTCCCTCCTAGCTTAGGAACCCTGTCCTTGAAGTGTCATGTAAAGATGATTAATTGATTGAGCTTTCTTGAGCAAAGTGTAACTAAACAGAATTAAGAAATCTTTATTTCATCAGATCAATCAAGTGAGAACTAAGAATTCTCTCTTACAATGGCAATCAAGACCACTTATACAGTACAGCAGCACTGTTCATTTTACCCAGTAATAAACCCTCTCGGACCTTGAAGCAGAATTTAAAAGTCCTAATTCACAATTACACTGGGAAGAATCCATTAAGCCACGAATACACATTAATTTCCAAACTGAACACCCCACTATCTTTAAACAAATTGTAGAATCCTCACACTCTGCTTTCACCGAACTGAACAATGGTTCTTATTGAGGTAGAATCAGACTTTTCAGGCTTTACGACATCATGACTGGTAGAATGAATGGGGACCAGAGCACCATAAAAAAAGTCTGACTCGCATAAAGGTATTAAATCCCACCATAATTCCCAAAGCTATGTCATAATTATGAAATAATGCCAACTTCATAATTAGTAATTATATTAAATCCCTTCCAACCTCAGGCAAGTCTTCATGCAGCCCCAATCTCGGTTTGCCTGGAGTCCAGCCAGGCCCTTTGAAGACCACAGACAATTTGTTTGTGACGCCTGGAGTATTCCAGAATGAGTCCCAGATATAGAGATAGTGATGAAACTAAAATAAAAAATCAAACAGAGAAATAAGATACACAAATAACACCTTAGAATGTTCAATGTCTGAAGATGCGTGACAATTCTACAGTCATTTATTATGATTATTGACTGACTGGTTGACATAAAAAAAAATCAATGGTGTCAAGGAGATTGCATACATTTAAATCTATTTGACAAAGATTAAAAGGGGGAATTGATTATATTCCTCATTGTTTAGTTTTAATTCCATTTTATAAGCACTGTTGTGAGCATCCTGTTTTTCACCATTATTTTTTCATTTTCTAACTATTCCCTAATTAAAATTAGTGCTATTTATTGCTTTCTGTACTCGGGAAATTTAAAACTAAATGCATGCAGTTTTGTTAGAAAACTGCTTCCCACTGGACTTTCTCAAGATAAAAATGGGTTTCCTAACCACTTGGCTTCATCGGAATCACAGAAATTAAATGAAATGTAACTTTGTTATTTTGATTTCTTAATGTATTAATACGTTTTTATTGATGCACTCATAATCAGAATATTATCTGCCCCAGACTCTATGTTACTGGCAAAAAGAATAAAAGTGTTTTACCCACACCTGTCTTTCTTTACAGAGGCTTTTGAGTTTCATTCTCACTGAAACAACCAATGAGAGCCACATATTGTATAGACCATCTCTCTGTTATCTCTGTCTGCAGAAAACTCAACATATCGCATTTAACAAGTAAAAAAGATGCAAACTTGACATAACAAATGTGGGTAAATATGCCTCCAAAAAGGTGCTGTTCATGACTTCTACAGTAATGTCAGATCCTACTGTGCTGTGCTACTGTGCTATACCTAATAGCATAATGGTTTTGTCCGTATTAAGGGTCAATTGGAAAATGGACTTGTCTCTAAGGTCACTGCAACTTCCTCATATCAGACCTTTGCTATCTCTGGAAGTGTGTTTCTTTGGCAGACAGCATATTTAATAATAGTTCCCAGACTAAAGTAACTGACCCCTGAAAAAAATAATGCATATTCTAAAACTGTAATAAGGCAATTTAATTCACAACAGATTTCAATGAACAGCCAAAGGACAAAAGCAAATAAAAGACATACTTACGTTACTCATAGTACTAAACATAGACAATGCAAAGGATTACCTGCACCCAAAGGAGTTCAAAAGAGTTGATTGGATGAGTCAGACCATAAAGAACTTTCTCTCCCTCTGGAGCAAATGTACCTGTTGAGCAGGAAATCACAGTTAAATTCAGCAATATACTGTAGTTATAAGAGAGTTCACAACCAAGTAGAGTATACTAAGCCCTCTTCTTAAGTCTCTTCAAAATGTTAATACATGTAATTTATTACAGGACAAGAAGTAAGCAGAGAACAAACAATTAGCTGAAAGCCAGGCATTTGACTAACAATTGAGATAAAGGCTACTTTAAAGTGCATATTTTAGGCTGCAGGAATATTTATATCTGGATCACAAAGTCATTTTTACTTCAGATGACTTTTGTCTTTTATTTAACTTTTCTTTGAATAATGCATTGATGTGTGTAAACTCACCAAAAAGTCGGTCCCATATAATTAAAGTTCCTCCATAGTTCTTGTCGATGCAATAAGGATTTCGCCCTGTGTTTGACAGGAGAATATTTACTGTGTACATTGATGACCACGTATGAAGGGTGTACTGTGAATTATAGTAAACAAAGTTCTGCTAAAACAGTATTATTATGCCTCTAATTTCAGTATTTTTCTTTATAAAATGTTATTGTCATGTAATGTAATGTCATGTACTGTCGTGTACAGTAAAGGTAATCAGGATAAAAGCTTGTTAAAGCAATCCTATTGTTATGGCTCATCAAAGTCACAAAGCTAAATTTTACCATAAATAACACGCCTTTCTCCTCATAGGATGTTTCTCCATCCATGGTTTTGCATGCTCAAGTTGTCAGGACAGGCTTGGCCAGGGGTTCTTGAAACTTCTAGAACATTCTCAGAGGCCCTAAGCTTCTACCACATTCCCAGAAGTCCGAGGCTTCTAGAACATCCTCAGAAGCCAGAAATCATCCCGAAAATTCTCAGAGGCCCATAGCTTCTCAGGACACCTCAGAAAACCAATTCAAAATTTGCTTGCATTGGATGTGATTTCCTCTGTGTTAACCTTTGCATCTGCTGCTTCATCACATCTTCCTGAAGATCACTTCATAACCATAAAGGTACAGTGCGTGGTTTATATATAAAACAGTAAAGTACTGAATTTTCTTATCTGACTTACTGGAGCACTAGGTACAGTATACTCATGGTTTCTCTATACAGTATGGTATAGGAGAATTTCTTCTTAATATACACATTGTTTGTTATCGGTGAACAGGAACTTCTCCCTGTGAATAAGAGGACCTGGTGTATATACAGTACGGTATCTATTTTACTAGGAAAACCTTCTAGCTTGGTGTGATTTAAATCTACAAAATTTAAGTTAGACCTCTCAGCATTTTGGAACACCAACAGCTAATTAATATTTATTCCCATACTCAGAATCTATTTCATTTCATTTACTCACCATGATGAACCCTGTGGTGGCTTGGGGTATTCATAATCAGCTCCACTGGCCCAAGATTACTAACGAGCTGAAGAGGGAAAATATACAATCATTTCAGGGCCATTACAAAAGCACATTACACAGAAAATTTAAATTGTAATTAAATTCATATCCCAAGGTGTGGGGCTGGCACGTACAGTACATGCATCTGTATTTATAAAAACAATAATATACTTACTGTACAGTATGTTATAATGACATGATAACATAAATAAGCCTTCAGTCTAAATTCCCTCTGATTCATTCTTTAAAGCCTACAGAGAGGTAACAGGCTATAAATTAAATAATAGTTTTCAGAGAGATTAAACAGAATGGCTGCAGACTTAAGACGAAACGTCCAAAAAGGTCCAACACATGGCTCACTGTGGCATTAGTTCTCTTCCAGTATTAATATAAAACACCCAAATATGCATTAACATGTAGATATGGGTAGCTGTGTTAATATGTGTGCTGCATGGAAGGCACAAGCAGGGGTTAAAGTCCATGATGAAAAGTTGAAATAAGAAAAAACACATTGTATTAGCTGGGAAGTCTTCCTTGGATGCATGGAAAAATAAGGCAGGGATAGGAGACAAAAGGACTGACTAAGGAGAACGAAATGAAAGAATGAGAATGTGTGGGGTGTGAGAGAAGAGGTGCAAAGATATTGACGTCTGGGAACTAAATCCAGTGTGTAATAAGTGTGAAAGGTAGAAATCTGTACATGATAGGGAGATTGGCAAAGAAATGAGTCAATAATTTCTTCAGAGAGAACCGGGGTAAAGTGCAAACCCAGTTTAAGGATCATTTTAGCTTCTGATATCTTACTGGAGAAAGTCTCTTAGAATCCCCAAGAAAGGACAGACAGTCCTTCATGCTTCCTTCCTTCTGTCACCCCTTCACAGCATGACAGTGCAGCCATGCTTGGAGCATCTTTAACCCTCATGGCTCTGATGTGTTCCATGAAACGGTCGGCCAGTCGTCCTCATGTTTCTCTAATGCAAATGGCAGCTGCAATTACTAAGATTGCTGGACGAACATGATCTTGAAATGGCCTTTATGGTTGTGCTGCCGCATAAGCATTTGCAGGTGATCCAGCAGTTCCTGTTGCAACAAAGAGTGCTTTCCGCGGACAGAGACTAGGAATGGTGTGTATTTAGAAGAAATTCCTGAAGGCATAACAACAAAACTTAGGTTTGGTCATTTCTAGCAATAATAAAGTGTTCATTTCTAAGACTGCCTCCTACTGGTTGCAGGAATGGAGTCTCTATATAGCAATGGCTGTTCGATTGTTGTGATTTTCCAGTGGGAGAGACTACTCAGGAATGCATAGCACCAGGAAAGCTTAATGTCGGTGTCGAGTAAAACTTTGAAGTCCTTTTCAGTTCTTGATTTATACCTACCCAAGTGTTTTCGTATCTGATGAAGCAGTTCTCAACTCAAATAACCATGGAAAGACTGAGGTAGCCAGATTTCCAAAACAGAGACAGAAAGAACAATATTTATAGATTGGAAGTAAAACAATCTGCAGAAGATGGAAAGTACCAAAATCATGAAAAACCTCAATGGGGGGGGGAAATGGCAGATCATTCTGTCATAGAAGGTCTGTAATGTTGCACCCTCATTCTTAGGACAAAACGTTAAATATCTCTCTTACAATAGAGGCAGGGGAATGCAGGTCCCAAACACACTAAATCATTTTACCACCCAGTTTATCCAAACATGAGATGTACACTATATGACTTTCCTGCAGGAAGAAGTCAGAAATTAAGGTGAATCCCAACCACTGCTGAATTAAGAGCTCCTTGAAACTGAATATTTAATTCATCAGTCCCCACAGCATGAGAATCTAAAGCATGCAAACAAACATAGGAAATACAAATCCATGCCGATAAGATTTCGCGTGTGGTGACATTTGTATTGCATGTGTAGATCATATGCCTGGATCTGAAAAGGGTTCCTGTGCTTTTTGTACAGTTTGTGCAGCAACAGTGTTTGCAACATTTAGGCTTTTGGAACCTTTACAAAGTTGACATTTAATAAAGTTGCCAGTCTAGATCACTGACATAAATCAATAAGAACACTTGGTCAAATATTATTGTATGTGGTGTGTCATAAATAACCTCACACCAATTTGAGGTTTCCTTTAACCAGTTCTCAGTTCAAGTGAATGCACGGCATTATATCCCTACAGCTTTCAGTCTGAGAATTAACTGTTTGTGTGGAACTTTAAATTAAGCTTCTGGAGATCTAAAAGTATCATGCGATACGCTCTGATGTTATTTGTTGTTGCTGTTGCTTGGTAAAAGATGTCTAGTAAGATGAATAAAATCAGTATTTTTCAAAATCCGTGCTGGCTAACTCCTAGAAAGCTGTTACCATTTAATTTTCTACTTTGACCTTTATGACACCCTTAACTTATTTAACAGAGATAAGACTGATCAGTCACTTATCGCCCAGACCCTTTGTCTTTTGTGGACAAAAGAAAGGTTACAAACAAGAAACCATTGACCTACTGTATCTACAGTAGCTTGTTTGGTTGATGCAATACATTGACAAACTATGTTCCTTCCTAAATATAAAGCACATCGGTATCCATCAGAAAAAAACACTATTATAAAGGAATTCTAACTATTATTATACTATCTGTTTTTCATTACTGGACAGCTGTTCTCGGTTCAAAAAACTCCAACGAGTTAAACTGAATTGGCCTTCTCTAAATCCATATTGACTATACCCTAGAGCCTCACTGCCATACAGATGGTCCTCTTGAATAGTTCTAATCTTCATTTCCATAACTTTACAGTACATGTAATGGAAGTCAGTTCAGTTTATTTGTCATGTGCACAAGTGCAATGAAATGCTTATTTGCATGTACCGTATGCTGCTCAAACACAAAGACATTAAAGGAATCACCAGAAACATAAACAGAACAGCAGCAGCAACAACAAGTTAAGTATCATAGAACTTTAAAAACTTCAGACAAGCAGCGTGAGAAGAAAACCATCAGTGTGAGCCAGTGGTAGGGGCAGAGTTAGACTTATTAGTCTATACATGTTGGTTCTGTTTTATGGAAGGGCAAAACATTTGCAATCGTCTAGTTAATGCGAATTACCCTGTCTTGAATACCTGTTGGAAGGTGTGTGTTAATGGCCTATGAATAACAGCTCTTGTTTCTTTAAGTACTATTTGGTAGAATACCATCAGACCCTGGAAGTTTGTTTATCTAAGTCCTTCTAGTACCTGTAGTACTTTTGCCTCATCTGTGCTGGTACTGTTTATACAGAAAGTTAGTCATAAGTGACTGTTGAAATATCCTAGTTAATAGGCTATGAATAAACACTCTTCACGGCTTTGAGAACAACTGAAAAAACACCCCAGTGATTTGTTTAAGTGCTCCTAGTCCCTGTAATACTTAAAAATACTTAAGCCTCTGTCATAATCAGATTAATCAGTACTACATGGAGCCATTCTTTGACTGTTTATTCCTTAGAGAACAACTGCAAAAAAGACCGTTCAGTATGAATTGCCATTCCATTTTCATCTCCTTCAATTAATCTTTTGTAACTGTTGTTGGATCAGGAAAAGACACTTTTTTTATAGCCACTACTATTTTTTTGCCACTATAGTCATTATGTATACTATTTTTGTGTGCAGTTGAGAATGGTCCAAGTGCTCTCTTCTCCTGAATCTCCAAATGGTGTTGACAATGAGAGGAAAACCCGGCAGTTTCACAAACAACTTAGAGTAATCACTTAAACGCTACACTTCGCTTTGCAAACTGCGATTTTTTCTATTAAATTTGTATATGATTTTCTGCCTCTTAAGCAGGTCAAGGTATAAAAATAACTATCACTAAATTTGTATTTGTCCATGTTTTCCAGAACTTTTCCCCTAAGGAAACCAATCATTTTCGCTGTAACATGTTGATTAATTCTTGGTTAAGTATCAGGGATTTTTCACACCACAGCAGCTAAATCATTCTGTAAAGAAAGAGTAGGACTTAATTGCATGCAGACCTACCTACTGTGGACAGACTAAATAAATCCACGACACCACAACCTCTTTCCTTTCCCTCCCCACATTTTCTCACTTTTCTCCACCATTTCCATACCAGAGCTAAGCAGTTCGATATCTATAACAATCTGCAATATCCATCTATTCGTAGACAGACAGTGAGCCAGAGCTCCACTCTGCATTACAGAGCACACTCATGCCCAAACAGGGACAATTTAGCGACACTCATTAATACAGCCAGCATGGCTGCGGACTGTGGAGGAAATTCCAGACTTCTAGAACTGCATTCTAATTCCGAGATTTGATTCCAGTAAGGACTGGTGTCTGGCAACAGCTGAGTTATATCTTGAATGAAACTAGGCATGCCATACTATACTTTCATTTTGGATTAAGCCTGAGGATTTCATTGCCAATAAACTATTTGACATCAAAAAGGCTCCGTACAGAAGGCATAAATTATATCCTTTCAAAAAAATCATTAATATTATGATGGATTTCACTAATAGAGTACTAAAAAGACGGCATTTGAGATTCATTTTTTCCCTCTGCTATCCAAGGCTGTAAAGCTGATACACCCTCAGACTAAAAAAAAGAAAAATAAAAGAATTCGTTTATGCTTCCGTGTTCAATATTTTATGAAGTCTCATTATTTTTTATTAAATGCAGGTTTTGATTTTATGCCTGCAACCATTAAGCCTTCCACTAAAACACAGAGGAGGGAACAGACTGAGATAGAGGGGGGGTGTCTTTTCAGTCATTGGAGGACAAGGAACTGGTTCTTTCTCATGTTTCTGTGTGCATTCATTTTAACCAGGTCGGGTTCAACCCCTACACTGGAAATTCATTACTATCTGCGCTGAAAAAAAATGAAAAAAGCAAAGTGCTTTGATCAACTGCAAGTTAGGCTGATTAGTGGCTAGGTTATCTGGATCAAAACGTTGTTAGTTTTTACAGATTTTGCAATATGAAAACTTCAAAATCTCAATACCTACAGTATAAATACTGCAGACAATGTGAAAAAACAGGTATGCATAAAAAGGTATTCATCAGGAGCAAGGGTTCAGCCCCACAGCATAGACGCTTTGCCACCTTCAGCTGCATTCCCAGGTAAAGCTCATTTAGGAGCTTTTGCACATTGTAAAATCATGGTCAATGAAAACATTGGTTTTCAAATAAAAAGAACATAAAACCACGACCACTATTCTGAGACATCACACACCCGTTATGCAGAATCATGTTAGAGACATGATGCAGGAGTATAACGTGCAGCATGACCACTTTGTCAATTGTCTTTCGACAATGATCATTTGTGAGATAACTTAATCCCTGGTACAGTAACTACTTTCCACACAACTGCGGCCAGTATCTCAGGAGGCAGACAGTGAGTCATTACTAGAATGCAGACCAGAGATTAGAAGAGCAGTTGCTCACAGGCCTGAAAAGAGCCTCTCGTGAGACTTGCTTCATATTGCTAACTCGATGGCACAGTGAACTTTCAGTGTGTTGCTCCAGTCCATGTTAAACCCGCAATAGAGATTTAAAGTGAACACTATTAGGAAAAGTCGGTCCGTAATTTACCTCTGTGTGAATCCAGAACTGGTAGAGAAGGTTGAACTGAATGTGCACAGCAAATACTGATGGAGGAATGGCCAAGGCCATGGGGAGATAGAACACCTGAGGAAAAGAAATCAGACAGTGAAAACACGTTGGTGTACTTAACTGTACAGTATGTAACATTGGTTAACAATGCTATTTTATATTATGTTACTTCTTATTATTTTATTTTAATTTCTTTAAAAATTCTAACATTATGTACACAATGCCATCCAAACATTATTTGTTATTCGTTATTTGTATTAACAGTCCTGCATTTTGTGTTTGTGAGCGTTGTATGATTATGAATGATAAGTATAATATTAGTTTTATTTTCCAGTACTACTATGCATACAATAATAGCATGAAGTCTGCTCCCCACACTCTTTCCTGCAATGGTCTTTTGATGTTTTATAGCATCTCAACATTTTGAATGCTTTTACTTTGAGATCTTAACTATTTTTTGGGTGTCCTGTCTTCAATTTTTTTTCCCTCCAGCAGGAAAAACACATGGTCAATTGCACTTAAATCAGCCTAGATGTAGCTTTGGACAGCCTAAAGAATGTCCACTTTTTTTTCTCTTGATAAACTCTTTCTTTGCATTGGTCATTGTCATGTTGTTTTATAAAGCACTGTTGAATACGCATGGAAACATTTTCTTCTGCTGTACATTAGCAGACAGAATGTTTCTGTAAGCTTCGGAATTCACTCTGCTGCTGTCATCATTAGTCATATTATCAATAAAGACCAGTGAGCCAGTTCCACAGGCAGCCATGCATGGCCAGGTCACGACATGACGTCCACCAGGCTTCAGAATCTGCTTGGAAGTACAGATATGAGCCAGAATTTTGGATATAATGAAATACAAAGATGGGCCAGGAGAGCATGGTTTTTTTATGGAAATATGAGACCAAGATAAAGCTTCACCGAAGTGATGAAAAGGTGAAAGAAATGAACTGCAGATCCTCCAAAGAAAAGCACTTCATCGGTGAAGCATAGCCTAGCAGAGACATGAACAGCCGACTCTGGAACAGGCTCACTTGTTGTCATTTTCAGGTGGAGACGTCAGGAATTGATTCACCAATTGCATTAAGTACGAACTTTAGGTAGGCCAGACTGTTACACACAGGATTGGAATTTAGCCAGGACATAGGGGGTCAATATTTCTAAGAAGCTTAAAATTGACAACACACCTCAAGCTAAGAAAAGCCAAATTTCTGTTTCAAATAGAATTAGCATTGCGGAGGCAACAAAACTCTTTCAACAGTCACACACAGCAGAGGCAATACCCCTTACCAATGTAGCACCCATCCATAACAAGGGCACCAAAGCTAACCAAATAGCTCTAAACCAATACGTTCACTTCTAAAACTTGTAACCTTATGTAAAAAATAATTCATGGACATGAATAACCCATGTGGCAGCAATAAAATCATGGATATCATTGACATCTGCATTTCCTTTGCTTTTTCTGTTCACCAGCTGTTCTCCACGTCATGAATTATCCTTTAGTCCTCTTTTTTGCTTGTCTGTGTGCCAGCCTCTTCTGCTTCAAGCTTGGCTCCCTCTGCCATGCACAGACAGACTTGTGCTTGTCGTCAATAAGTTCAATATTCATCTGGTCATTTTCATCAAACCAATCCTGTCGTTTCCTGCTATAGTATCAAATCATCTCGCTGCAGCTGTTAGTGATATTTGCCCTGCGGTTTTCCTAAGCAGTATGAATGTTTCCCCTCTGTCCTTGGTTGAGGCTTGAGAGCTCTTTCCTATTGCTTTCTTCTCATTTTGGTTGAATCCTTCAGTGTTTTGATTTTCCATGAACATGTACTTCTTCTGGTGCCAATGCTGGCCAAATTCAAAATGTTTTTTTTTTGTGATCTGCATGTCACCATGCTCTTACCCAGGAGGTGCACTGCTGTGTTAGAGACTGTCTCAGGGCTGTGGATAAATTATAATCTTCAGAGCTGTGATGCACCTGGTGAGCTGCCCACATTATATTCACTTCTGTGGAAGAGAAGGAAAGATGTACAGTACATGGTTTTGAATACTGGTTAACAGATATTAAAACATGCACATATAGACCTTTAACATATTCTGATCGCAGCTACTGTATATCACCCCGCAGCTTACAAACAGAAGCCCACTGAAGCTCAGCAGGTCAGTAACTGGATGGGAGACCTCCTGGGAAAGCTAAGGTTGCTGCTGGAAGAGGTGTTAGTGGGGCCAGTAGAGGGTACTCTTCTTGTGGTCTGTGTGGGTCCTAATGCCCCAGTATAGTGACAGGGACATTATATTGTAAAAAGGCATCGTCCTTCGAATGAGATGTAAAACCGAGGTCCTGACTCTCTGTGGTCATTAAAAATCCCAGGGAATTTCTCAAAAAGAGTAGGGGTATTACCCCGGCGTCCTGGCCAAATTTCCCATTGGCCCTTACCAATCATGCACTCCTGTAAAGCGCTTTGAGAGGAGTGTCCAGAAAAGCGCTATGTAAGAGTAAGGAATTATTATTATGATGTAAGGTACTTTATGAGGTACATCATGCTGCATGAGACAAGAAAACCCCAAAGACAGCATGTAATGACCATGGTGACTCATGGAGACTTCAAACAACCAAACAAATTTCTTAATTGGGGTATGCAAGACTGCATTAAATAAATAATTTTTTTCAAAAATTCAGAATCCTCAGTGAAGAGAGACTGATAATAAGACTTCTTGGAAATTAGCGATTTTTGACGTTACTGACCACCAAATCAATGAGACTCAATGTCAAACTATAGCAGTAAGCCATTTTAGTTTACAAATGAATTACGTAGGGACAGAATCAAACTATGGTACAACTTGTACAGTAAATATTCAGTAGGTTAGATATTGCCTCTGTATTGTTATAATTGCAACATTAATCTTGGGATTTGTCTTCATTTTTCTGGGGCTTCATATCCAGTTGAACATGCTTGTTAAATTTCGCTGGCCTCTCGAAACCATTTCCGGACCACACACTTCATTGTGCATTTTGGCAGAATTAACCTCTTGGCATTGCTAAACGGAACGAACCTCCTTCTCAAGCCTGCCCACAAAATCCTTGTAGGTTATCTTTAACGAAACAAAATCTCCGAAAATAAGAGGGTCGTGCCTAAACTTCTGTATTCTCTTCTGCAAAAGGAGTGGACAGTAGTGCAGAACAAGGGAGAGTTATGTGCCATTTGCCTCCAACATGAGAGCAAAAGATCCAAAGAGAACGACTTGGGATGGGGTGGGGGGACAGCTCTCAAAATGCTTTCCTAGAAGCTGCTTTTATGGAAAAGATCTTTCTTACTTTTCCTGCGTTTCTACGATGCTAAGGTGTTTAGAGCAAACAGCAAATGACAGAAATGAAGCGTGAAATTCATATTTGGATCTTCGTGCAGTGCTTAAGTCAGGTGTCTGTAGATTAAGAGTTCATGTGACAAAGGCTTTTTTGTACTTCGCATTCTTGTGGAAAATGTGAGTAGGGATTATGGGAACAGAGGTGAGGAAACATTTCAGATGTTTGGAAAGCTCAGCTATGACTCCCACTGGGTAGCAACAATAAAAAGGTTCATGAAAGGTGGCTACATTATTTTATCTCTCTTAAATGTCATAAGTTAAAAATCCATGTACAAGTCAACACAGGAAAAAAAAAACTTTTTACTGTTTTCCTGGTTGGTCAGTTCAGCTGACATGCGTCTTTATCAATTCTGTGGTCACACAAAAACCTTGAATAAAATGTGCTCACACACAAGAGAGACAGCTGGGAGTCTCTAATGGTTTATTTTAGGGAGGTGGCGGGATTGTTCCACCATGACTTGATTCATTTTGTTTATACTATTTATTATTCATAGATTTTTTTCTTGGTGTGTTTGCAATTATTTACAAATTATTACATTACAGTTGGCAGCAGTAATTCCAAAAAGAAATATGTTCAAATTGACATAACACAAATGAAAGTTGTCAGTAATTAAACTAAATTAAATACAATAAATCAGTACATTATCGGCTTACAGGTGTTAAACTCTGTGATGAATCTGTTTACATGGGCACTTAAAAGGTGCAGGTTAAAGACTGGACTCCTTGGTTGTTTTACAAACATTCCCTGCCTATCAAAACTGAGTGTAACAAAATCCTGTGCACTGCAGCTGAATAAACATAACTGCGACTGAACTGCATTTTTTACATATGTCAGTCTAAGATTCCAAAGTCGCATGCTATGTGATTTTCAGAGCTGCCAAAAATCCTGATTTTTGAGACAGATCCCAAATTCACTATCCATCCTAGATCACCATCAGGTCTTGTGCTATTGTCACACAAGGCAAGCAGTACCTATTTCAGAACACTAACAGCATTCTCTAGAATGGATCTCTGACCACTTTATTACATTATTGGAAAATGCATGTGCACATCCAAGCATTGTCCTGTATTTACAATTTACAATAGCATGACAATAATTTGTCTTTCAGACAAACAATCATGGCATGAAGAGCAACTCAAAGATGGCCCCAACGGATCCAAACATTGACACACCAGCCATTTGTAACCTCCAAACCAATAAATGAGGGCTTTTTTCTAACAGAAAATATGTCTTCTTCAAGACAATGGATGTCCATCATCAAGTATTTCTTTTTTAATTGGTAGGATTATTGGTTGGTTGGTTGGATTACCTCCAATTTATTTTCAGAATGAAACTAAACCTGCTGTAGCTAACTGTAAGGTACATGATGTCATGAAAGTGGCTTCCCTGAAGAATCACCTCCTCCAGTCAGCAGTCACTCTCCTATGAATCGCTGTGGAGCTCACAGTGAGTGAAATGATTCATGACTGTCAGGCTGGTGCAGGAGGTTGACTGGTGATTCCAAAGTTGTGAAAAGAAAGAGAAAATCCCAACCACTACACGGATAGGTTTGATATGGAAAAGTTTAAATGTTTTTAATGGCCACGAAAATGCCACAAAGAAGGACATAATTAGCATTCAACAAAACTCACCACTGGAGAGCAATATACTTTACAAAAGCTGTTATGATCATGATACTTCATTTTTAACTGTTTTCCAAACTTTGCTGCCCAACCAGAATAAACTCACTACATAGGCAGTTTGCCAATCCGGAGAATCAGGCTGTGTGTCTACAGTGGTGACTGCACAGCCAACAGTTACTGTACACTCCGATTGACATTCCTTCACACAAAATGACTCAAACGTTTGGCAATGATGCACTGGTAACTGGTAACTATGGGACTATTTTTCTCAAGGCCAAAAAAACTAAATTTAGGCGGTCTTGACATTAAAGAAAAAGTTTTTTGCTTCGAAAGTATATTTATGGAACTTAGTCTCCTGAGACCGAAGCCATCATAAAGTCATTTTTAAGAAACTATTCCCCCTTAATCTTTTCTCAGTACAGCTGTAAATACTTTATGATGTGCCATCCTTAATGTTCATGCATCTTAATAGCACTTGAAATCACATCAGTCATCATCTACTCACCATATGAAAAATGTAAAATCCATTAATATAAAACAAATTTGACATAAAATTGTACTGAATAAAACTAAACATGCCAACTGATGTGCAGATCAGTCAGTGCATTCTCATTCTTCAGCATCTATTTGTAGCAGTTTTCAAAACTTTGAATAGTATTTATTCTTTATAATGTGTTTTACCAACAACACAGTAGAATTATGCAGCAACAAAATTCCTATTGCTATATTTTAAAACTTTTTAATTCTTATAAGCATATAATTTGTTTTCAAAACACCAAATATTCTTAAATTCAATTCAACAGAACTTATACAGAACATAAAGAAAAAATCAAATTAAAATATTTTCTTATTGCTGCTGTTCTTTCAAATGTTTTGTTTTAGTCTAAGAACGTGAATAATAACCCACTCTTCGAAGAATTATTACACAAATTCTTGTTACTTGTACTCAGATACTCAGATACTTGTTGATCTGCTGAGGTTCAGAAAGAGGTCTTTAGATGAAGTATAACCAAACACTTGGGAATGTATTTTTTCTCCAAAAGGCAGCAGCTCTCTTCCATGGATGAAGCACATGGCTTATCTTCCCTGTGGTACATTAAGTTTCCTTCTCTGATTGCAAAGCATGGGGAATGGTAAACCTAAGATCTCAGTGGTTTTCTCCATTAGTCAAAGCTATGAGACATGGACTGGAAAACAAACAGCCAGGAGCTGGCTTCTTTCATTGCCCTCAGGAGTTCCTGCAGAGTAGGTGCCCATTGGCGGACACACACAGACTTGGCAAAGTGACCCTCATCCTTCAACAGACGACTGCATGCCTGTGCCAGAGGGGAACAGGGAACAGCTGGCCCCGAGAGTGGATACTTTGGAAAAAAATATTGAGGCAGAAATATTGAGATAAGTAAATCTCAAATTGTCTCTAGGGTCTAGCTCATGGATGACTCCACGTGAGCTTCACTATACAGAATTAAGAAAGGAACAAATGTGAATAGGGAGCAAACCTAAAAAGTTTTATTGCGTTTTTCTTGTATACTTTCACTTCTCTGCTTGTCAAAACCGAATTCGAATAAAATAAATACACCACTGAAAAAGATAATTAAACCATTGTTGGATTCCATAATTCCTTTTTCATTTTCTCACTGCTCCTTTGAAAGATTGATGCTTCATGTCACTGGTAGGAAGTATAAACTGCTAAGCTTCATTGCAACCCATGTCCTGATCCTCTGACTCAACAGGACACCACATACTTTGGCAGCTGATATTCAGATGGGAAGCTCTTTAATGATGAGAATGAATACCAGTGAAACCCTTTCCCACAAAGAAGAAAAGCTGAAATCTAGAGATTTCAAGCTGCATTATTTTCAGATATAATGGGCTGCAAACCCATAAGACAAAATTCAGAGGATGTTGCTCTGGGTGATTTAAAAGCAACTAGATTTTTATTTCCATCAGGTAACTTACGAATATTAAATTGTATTAATGATACATACTGTACTGTTGTCAAGGGTATTGTCAAGGGT